AATGACGATATTACCTTTCATCCATTGTCATCCCCCGTCCACGGCCAACCATTCCTCCGGGCATTCCTCGTGGCATGCCGGGCATTCCGCCAGGCATACCACCGGACATGCCTCCTGGCATTGTTGGTGGCATACGTGTTCCAATACCGGGCATCCCTCCAGGCATTCCTGTAGGACGCATCATATTGCGCATTGGCTGACCACCTTGATACGTTGGATCAAATCCCATTGGACCAGTTGGTGGCATTTCTGGACTTCCCATGAAAAATGGTGGTGGTCCCATTTGCATATCCTTAATGTGAATAAGATAGTTCATTTATTCACATTAGATATTATAAACTGAAATGAATTATCTTTTATTAAATTACCGTTGGCGGAAACATTCTCATTCCCATAGGCGGACCTGGAAAGAAATTTTAGTTAGTAAGATTAGAAAAATATATTAAATGGTTAAAATAAAACACAAATATCATATAGACCTTGAAAATCATGTGGGTAACCATTGGCATCCATACCGTAATCTTCATTTTGATCCATTGTTGGTGGTGGACTTAATAAATAAATAATTAATTAAATTTAATAGTCAGAATATTAGGTATTGTCAAACTAATCTCAGAGATTATTTCAAAATCTTTTGTTCATTGACTTACATTGGTTCTAATTCTTCTAAAGCAGCTTCTCTTTCACTAGATACAACTTGAATTACAGAATCGTCTTGATCCCTCCCGCGGCGCCCTATAGAACTCTTTTAATCAGAATTTGAAAACCTAATCGCTTGTATCAATAAAATATATGCAATAACCACCTCGTCCTCGTTGTTGTTGGAACCTCGGATGATCAAGCCCAGATTGCGGTTGGCTAATGGATTGTAATTCTGGCGGCAAATTGTTTATTTCTTGTTTAGATTCATATACCTAATTATAAAAAACCAGAAGTTTAAAATAAAGGAAAAAAAAAAAAAAGGTTATTAAATTTATACACGTCATACATGAATTTTCTTTCTCGAATGTTGATCCTCTCGCATTTGCTTTTGTTTCGCACAATAAGCTTTCCATGTATATTCATTAAAGCCGTAATTGAAATAATCCGTTATATCAGCCCCTGTTTATTATACGAATTTAGAGTATATTATATTTAAAGTATATTATATTATATGCAAGAATGATTGAAAATTATTACCTGGCTTTCTCCAAGGTTTATCTTCTACCGAATCTAAATCAACATCATATATGCTGGTTCCATCCAGTGAACCTACAACATTTATATCAACTCCTGGAGTGCGACTTGATATTTGTCCACCCTCTATTTGTATCGAGGATTACAATGTTCATGTGTAAATGAAACTTATAATAAACTAAATAAAATTTTACTAATAAATGTAGGTATATTCACCGTGCCGCTGTTGCCCAATTTGTTTATTAAAGGAGTTAGGTTTAATATTAACTAGTGAATTTCTTTTCGAAAAAAAAGAGGTCAGTTAATTT